GAACTGCATATAAAGTGTATAAACTGCGTTATTACATCCTGTATCCTCTTGGACATTCTGCTCGTTACGGTCAACATGTTTGGAAGAAATGAAAGAGAGATGGAAGAGGGGAAGGATAATAGGAAGATGGGAGCAGGAGAGAAAGGACTATCTGGAAGGGATCGGGGTAGATGTGGAAGGGAAAGAGGAATTAGAAGAGGAGGTATTGGAGAGGAAAGAGAAATGGAAGGAGTAACAAGAAAGGATGGAAAAGATCATGGGATCGAATTACAATAGGTGGTATAAAAGTATAAGGAAGGACGGGATTCCGGACTATCTAAAAAAGGGATGGGAGGAAGCAAGATGGAGCAGGGTTGCTCGATTTAAACTAGGTAACAAAGTGAGGGAGGGACTATACTGGGGAAATGAGGAGGATAAAAATTCAGGATATGTGGGAGGGAAGAGGAAACATGGAAACATATATGGGAAAAATGTACGAGATGGGAGGAATGGGAAGAAGAGGGGTGGCAGGATGTGGTAGAGAGATACTGGGAGACAAAGGAGAGGGAGAAGAATGGATGAAAGCAATAGAGGAAATGAGACGAGTTGGAGGAGGGAGGAAAATGGGAAAGGAAGAAGGATGATCCAACAATTCAACGAAAGAGGACCAAGGAGGACGAGACAGCGGAAAGGTTTAAAGAGGAATATGTCTATAACAAATTATATGTATATTGTATATTTAATTGTATGTAATTATTGTAAATTGGATGTACAGGGTTGGGTACGTCCCTACAAAACGCCCTTTTAGACCCCTTGGGGTAATAAAGTATCTTTTCTATCTAACATTTATTCGACATCAATTTAATATTTATTTTACATTAATTATTTATTTGCAATAATAATATAAAAAAAATATTTATTTAATATTTATATTTAATATTTAATTCAAATATTATTTTATATTAATTTTTTAATCGTAAGAGATGTTTTAATCGAATTTTTCTATTGTTTTGCTTTATAAATTGTGCCGTTCCGTAAAAAATTTCCGCGTCATAGGACCTATAAGATTTTTTAACACTTTAAAGATATGTTGTAAACGAGTACTTACAGGTAAGAAGGAAGCGTCAGAGGATCGTCACTTGTTCATTTGATTGTCCGTTTGAAAGTCAAGCAACGTGGGCGCGGTACTATACTCGGATGGGTGACCGGCTTGAGAGTGCAGATTTTTCAAATAGACGCGCGGTTGTACGCACACCCAATATACAAAAGAAACAGTTAGGAAAGCGGTTTTTATCTTTTCCTAGATAAAGAAAAAGAACATTCTTTAAACGTTTCTTTGTAAAAAAAAGTTGTTAAAAATAAACGTTAAACATTAAAAATGTTCTTAAACATTAAAAAAATGTTTAATGTTAATAAAACATTTATTTATTTAATGTTAAAAAAAACATTTTTTAATGTTAACAAACGTTTATTTATTAAAAACACATTTTTTTAATGTTAAAAAAACATTTTTTACAAAATTAAAATAAATATTTTTTTAATAAGAAAAAAGGATCTATCCCATTAATTTAAACGTTTTTTAAATATTTTTTTCATTGCTAAAAATGTTTTTAAAAACGTTTAAAAAATATTTTTTTGCTACTTGCACGGTCTTACACATACGTGGCTACTTGGAATATACGCGATTCTCAAGAATCTCGAGATATACATATGGCCACATGGCACATCAGCTATAGTTATAGCTATAGGGAAAGAAAAAGACAGCGAGTGTATGTCTGCGCTCTTCTACCGCCCGAAGCTGACCGAGTGCCGAGCGCACACGTATGTAATATGTAGATATAATTTAAGAAATAGTAACAAAATGGTTTATTTGATAATAAAGAGGATTCATTATCAGATAAGAGATAATAAGATTTATTTCAATTTTGGTGGCAATATTAGCGACGAAGATTTGATATTAGAGAAGGAAAAATGGAGAAGAAAACATGCTGTTTTCTTTTTAAAATATTGTTATACTTAATGATTATAAATGTAGATTTTGGCAATATTTTCGCATTTTATAACTCTGTTGTGAAGTATAACAGTTTATTGTACTATTTAGGTGCAAAAATTCTCCAAAAATTCACCATGTTTTGGAGCAACGATTATAATCCATAACATTTTTGTTTTCTGTAATTATTGAAACAAATCTATTTATTTCATACATAGATCTAAACAAATAAGTTTATACAATTACAAAAAAAAACAAGAAACAAAAGTGTATATATGTGCGTGTACAGGATGTTTTAGGACCAATAGAACAAACTTATATAATATAATTCTAATGATGTCTTAGATTCTTCATCAGAGTAACAAACCACACCTACTTTTCTTTTGTAAAAATGGTTTGCTGAATATTATTTCCACAATCTCCTAAACAGTCTTTTGTAATAATACCAGAATATAATTACCAGAATACCAGAATATTAATTCATATGTAACAAACAAATAAAATATTTTTTTTACCTTTTGTATATAGATGATGAATAATGCTCTTTTATAAATTAATCTTGATTAAAGTAAAAAAGTCCATATCACTTCTTTCTAACATAGTATATTAGTAGATATTCCTTTTTCACTTTTGCATGATATTTTGCTATTTATAAAAATTAATTTCTTTTAATAAACATATAATATTCAATAGGCTTATTTTATTTTAATAATTTTCAGCTTTGTTAAATAAAACGATATGCGGTATCACATAGTATCAGACTTAATAAAAATTCTATTCTATTCTATGAAAATAAGATATGCTTGACAAATACTTCTTATAAAACATGTTAGCTACAGCATAGTTTTGATCCTATACAATACTGTGTAGTGTGGACCTACTATAACAAAAATTATAGTAAGTATGAACATGTTTCATCAATGTAGAAATCTGAACATAAAGTCTATCTTCTAGGTAGTATTTAAGACTATCTTAACAATTATTTTATTTAAAGAAGACTATCTCAAGATATAAATTCATAACCTATAAATGAGATGGTCATAAAAAAATTAATGGTTAAACAACCTTGAGAATTTATAAATACGTTTCAAAAACTAATTTTGTCAAGCTAATTTTACTTTTATTTAATAGAATAGGATTATTAAAATCTAACAATTAAAATTTCTAATTTTGTTTTGATTGTAATATAAAATATTTATGAAAATTAACTTTTTTTTACTTTTTAGCACTAATAAAATTATATAATTTTTATTATTAAAAATTATATGGAAATTATCTGTAACTAATAAATGGTTTGTGTAATATATGCATAACAAATAGAAGTATTCTAAAACTATTACAAAACAGTAAATTTAACTATAAAATGTTTTAATAATACATTATATTTTATTCTCTCAAGTCTTATAAACATAATAATATAATTACATACATGTTTGTAAACTTTATCCAAATATCGATTTAAAAAATTCTGTTCTGTCTTCTATATGTGTCTTTGCTTTCCTGTTTCTTATCTCGTTATCAGTATCTCTTTGCTTAACTTCAGGCAATTCAAATGTCGTCTCTTTCCCTTGTTCATGTTTCTTTCGCAGCTTTTTACTTCTATCTACATTATACGAGAAGAAGTTAACCTCTCTCTTAGCTTGTGCTACTTCTGTTAGAAGTCTTTGTTTATGAACTGCACGTTCATAAGCTAAACGTTCACTCAAGTGAATCCACTTAAATCTATACAAAAAAAATAAAATGTAAACAATGGAAATAATATGGAAATAATATAAATATCTATTAATTAAATATTGGTGCACAAAATATTTTTTACTTTACCTAGGCAAGTACTTTATGTTCCACATAACGTCGTAGAACTTGCTTTTCTTTCTCGTAGATACTTGAGTATTGTTTAATGTCTCCGCTACAAATTTTGCCACTTTCTTACTTTCAAACTCTATCCAGCCTTCAGTGAAGTGCTTAATTGCTTTCTTGGACTTTTTTCTACGTTTCACCGATTGTATCTCTATGTTTTAAAATATTTTTAATTAAGTGACATTATATTCGCAATCAATAATTTAAAATAATTGATCTACTTTATAGTTTTAAGCTTTAAAAAATGTCTCTTATATTTGTATAAGATTACATAAAAAGATAAAATTATAAAAAAAACTGGGATATTTAACGTGTCGTCAACCATTGGACCACTAAGGTCCTTTTAAGGTTATATGGCACTTAACTCAAAAAATGTCTCATTCTTATGATCCTTTACGAATCTTAAACCTTGCAGATTATGAATCCTTTCCGATTCCCAATCGTGCAGACCATTAATCCATAAGGATCTTAATCGGGAAAAAACTTCTTAACGAAGTATATATGGGACGAAGGCCGGGTCGGATTCGAACCACGGACCTTGTTACTAATCACTCGCGTAGGCACTGAGCCACGCGTCTTCCCTCCCAGAGATAAAATTGTAACTTTAAGATTAGGTTATAACTTATGACAAATATTGCAAAGCAAATAAAACTAACCATTATCGGCCAGCTGCAGATACACTCTGCCCACTTTACCGTAAGCAGAAAACATCTCCTGGATCATCGTGATGTTCATATATTTCGGAATTGTGGACAAATAAATTATTCCTCTCTTAGCCTTTTTGCAAAGTTTTTCAACTTTTGCCTTAGCAAGTTCTTTTTCAACTTGCGTCAATTTATTTTCTGCATCGCAATTAATTGTACGGTCCTCGGTGTTCTCGCTCGCATTTTCCTGATTCATTTTGTAAGTCATTCAAAAATTATATCTTCCTCAATGCTGACACCTGAGACTAATCTTCAGCTTCTTCTTCTTCTTCTTCTTCTTTTAAATAAATAGCCCCAAAAATTTCTTCAGCAATAAAGCCTCTTGCACAATTGTCAGGCAACAGGCAATAGGAACAAGAAATAGAAACAGAATAGAAATCAGAAATCATGTATAAATGCAGAATAAACAGTAACACAGGCAATAGACATAGCAGAGTATCCATCACGTTGGAAATTATGTGCCTATTGCTTGTTGCCAACCAATCATAGGCCGGTATTCATAGGGTGCGTTCGAGGAGACGCTATTAACGCTACCTAGCGCACAGATTAATAGACAGATAGCCAAAGGTCCGGGTTGAGACGAGACCAGCATTTCTCACTGGTTTCAGCGCCATACCGTGTAGCGGCCAATGCAGTAACTACGTTCTTGATAAAGCAGGTCATTTTCGGACGAAGTCGCTGTAACTCTTATAACTACAGTTTCGTTATTATTGTTATATTATCGCTGTGCAGATATAATATATATATGATAAAAAAGCTGCGCAACGACAATATAATGATAACGAATTGTTGTTAATAGTTGTAGAATCAGAGCACTGATCCCTAAGCCGAGAACTCCGCGTGACGTGTTAGACAAGTTATATTTTGCAATCAAAATTAAGTATGTTAATTAATTGTTAAGACTTTCAGCCCTTAAAAGAAATTTGTTATGTCAATTGTAGTTAAAAAGATATTGATGATTAACATAGAGTCTATTGCATCAAAGTTGCGACTTACGCATAGACGATTAATTAAGAAACTATGAAATTTTTTGTTATTCAAATTTAAGAGTTTTTTAGGTTGCTAAATATTAATCTGATGTTAAATTCAGTTGATAAATTAAAAATGTCGGAGCCGTATAGCGGCCGGATGTCAAAAGTAAAAATTGTATCATTTTTATTTTTAATATTCGCTATTTTTAATTAACTTTGCCATCCGATTAATATTGCGATTAATATTTAAAAAAAACCCTTAACTTCAAATACATAATTAAAAAATAATTTATAAATTCTGAATGGTATATGTATTATAGTTGCAACTTCTTGACGCAATAGGATTCTGTGTTAATCTCGGCGTTAATAATCATGCATCAATTATATATTTTTAATCATAAATGACATGAGAAATTTCTTTTAAGAACAAATAAAGGATAAATATTTTAATTCGCGATGCTTCTTTAATAAACTTATTCAATTAATTATATTTATTATTTATAC